AAAAAAAAAAAAAAAAAAAAAAAAAAAAAAAAAAATGTATGCATTAAATCTATCAAAATAAATGTTATAATATCTATACTTTACATCGATGATGATAACCATAGACTATAACTTATTACGTGAACGCATATTATTTGCATCTGTGGCAGCCGGACGTGCCTAGCACAGATAATACAATTTTTCTATTATCTATGTGCCTAATGATAACAATAATAGAGATTTTTACATTTTCTAGGTGAATGAAAACTTGAAAATATGTAATAGGTATTTAAAAGTGTATTGACCATTGGCATATTGTGTTAAGTCTTCAGCGTTAATTTATTAAGTGCCCATTATATTATGTTCTGTAGTACTTTTATTAAAATTAGTAAATTTAAGATATACATATTTACTCCAAAACGTCAAAAGCCAAGAACTTTTTTTGTTTGTACATGAAGATAGGCATACATTTTTCTATAAATTGTCTACTCAAATGTATATAATATTTATTTATCTATTAGAACATAAACGCCGAGCGGCAATTACAAAAACAAAAACTTAGATAATTGATTAACAAACATAGTGAAACAGTACTAAATATAAGAGATTATAACAATAATTAATAGTTTAAATGTAAAATATTATAGAGTGTAAACAAAGGTCAATCCAGGTTTGCTATCCTAAGCATTCTATGCAATAGATGATTATGGTCATACGAAGTTGAGTCAGCTGAAACATAAAAAGGAGTTTGGTTCCTGGTGTTGTGTGAGAGAACTTCAAAAGACACATTAGAAAGAAAGTCGGGAGTATATAGTAAATGGTCGAGGAGAGCGTAAAGAAACTGAAAGCCCGTCTCGTTCCTGCGCGAAGATAAGGAAGGTAAAATCAGGATACCAGAAATAAAGGAGTAGTCATGATTAGGAGATGGTAAATTGAGTTTGAAAGTGAAAGATGATAAGAACCTGTGATGAACGCTCTCGACTCGCATTTGATTCTTAGCAAGATAAGGATGTCAAATAATAGCACCGTGCTCTATTATTGGCCGGACAAGAGAACAATACAAAGAACGAAGAGAATTAGCTGACTTGAAGAGCCTGGTGTTACGCTTAACAAAACCTACGACCTTTAGCGCTCTACCAGTAACAACGTTTATATAATGGCTAGAGGAGAAAAACCAGGAGTAGTGAATACCTTTAATAATGGAAACACGCTCTAGCTGTATACTATAAAGTAAACCATAGGCAGTAGAATATTATAATGTCTTGATTTCAAGCTAATGTTTACATGATTACATACCTTTTCTTTCTCGTTCCTTTTCAAGAAATACCAACTTAGTATTAATATTCTATAAATATGTTTTGGAATCTAATTTCATTTTGTTTCCCATCTAAAAATTACTCTATGGCCGCCCAATCTTAATCTATTACAAAAACCATGTGACTGATTTGTTTTTTTTTATTTTTGTCTACTTTTATTAATATCTGGCCCGGCGTGGGTCGTGGGAAATTATTAAACTTTAACTAATTTTGTTTCCCCTCTGTGAACTCTTTTATGATTATAATTCACCACTGCGAGAGTCAACATTAAAATTAAAAAATGCAAATTTTAGAATTAAAAATTTTCTGCTGGTGTAAATTTTATTTCACTATATTTATTATTATTAGTTTTTTTTATAAACGATATTGCCTATTATACAGGTACATAATTTACAAAAACTGAACGAACGAATATAGGAAGTTTTAAAAATAACATCAAAAGTTGGCTGTGAGTTTAACCTCAGAACATATAAGGGCGAAAAAACAATATGGACAATAAAAAATTGGAGAACCGCGTATATTTCTGAAAAAGTTTCTCGTGCAAAATCGATTATTCCTTATAGATTTTGAACGCACATTATATAGGCGAATAATTGACGGACGAAAATTGTTTTTATTATTTATATTTAATTATAGTTTTAAGTGGCATCAGCGCGACATGTAAATAACTTAATAGAACAGCAGTCTTTCGCCAACGACCATAATACCACGTTGAATACACCAGTTCTCGTCCGATCACTGAAGTCAAACAACGTCGGGCGTATTTTACACGACAAATACACATCATAGTAAAACCAACAACAATAAAAAATCTGATACTGAAGGATGGGTGTGCTACTATTGTGTGTAGAAAGTTGGGAAGTTAGGATAGTTAAAGTTTTATTTGCGAGTAATTTATGTCTGTAAGCGTAACCCATTGCTAAAGAATAACGATTTGGAGCGAAGTTCAATTACGCGTGTTTTGAAAAGCCGTAATATTTACGATTCACGTCAAAATTTGATATCAAAACTCTAATATAAAAAAAAAATACTATAATACACAATGAAATCGGTAACGCAGTGGCGTGCCGTGAGTATTTGCGGTTTTTCCTATAATTTTGTTTTCGGATTTTTCTAATTATTTTGATAACCCCTTTGGAAAATCGAAAAATTACCTGTCTAACGCACTAGCTAGATAAATTTTCCTTTCCAAATATGTTCTACAATGGGACCGTATTTCTTTTCGAAAAGTCGTTTACAGACACAAACAACACGCTAAATACAAACCGCAAAAACACACATCATCGTAGCGAAACCGATAGACCCCTCATCGCGCTCCGAATTTGAAAATAATAACCAGAACTTTTATCGTTATTCCGGAGTGTATTCATAAACATTTTTATGAACGCGCCCGTTTAAATTTCGAAAAGATTTCTAATGTTAGGTATCCGCATTATAACAACAGCTATCCCGTATAGTTTCGTAGTTTGTCGTACGAGTAGACGATAAAAAATTACAAGTATATGATATAGATAAATATTATTAAGTATCGTAAAATATATCATTGTGTACTAACGTTAATCAACGAGACGATAATATAAATAATTTACACATTTAAACGCCGGTTAAACGGGAAAAAAAATTCTGTAAAATTTTCGTGTCTACGTTCAACGTATTAATAGTCATTAAAGTACCGATCGTAAAATAAAAAACCATTTTAGGATTGAGATACAATATTCTACGAAACTAGTGACTGTATACCTACGTCAATACATATATATATTATACACGTACAGATAGGTACTAAACAATAATACATTACGACTAGGCGTACCTAAATACGACCACGGCTACAATTATATTATTATTTTATTGTGACCATAATATAGTTATATACATATAATATGGACTTAAATAGGTACATTAGTGGACATCGACGGCCAATGTCATTACAGAACAGCTGGGTTCCTAAAAAAAAAAAAAAAGTATAAATCCTTATATCCATCCACGCTGTTCCGCAATATTATTGCTCACGTGTAGTACCCGTACGCGATCGTTCGAATTTAAATCCTAATCTTTTATTCAATGCCGAATTATTGTTAGAATATTATTGCTAAACGTTATTGAATCTGTATTAACGTTTTAGTAATAATACCTAACGATATAATAATAATTTTTGCGTCGCATAAAATATTAAGCTATACGTCCGTACGATATTCGCAAGAATTAGTTGTCCTTCTGAAAATCTATTTTATTTTTATTATACAAAACTTAGATTTAAAAAAAAAAAAAAATCTATACTACAGTATCCGCAAAACAAAAATGAACAACGAACGTCCGTCTGTACATCCTGGATGCACACCATTCTGTAAATTGGGTAGCCGCGAGAGTAATTTGTTGGAACCAGCCTGAAATCTTTGATATGAACTTGGATAAGGCGTAATCCAAGATCAGTTTCCGTAGGGATCTCCTCGATTTTTTAAACTTTTAGAGAACGCTACATTTACTGTATCAGTATAAAGAGTAAAATAGCAAAATTACATTGCTCAGAACATAAATAGTGACACTCGAGTTGAAATTAGAGTTTAAACGCAAGTCGATCTATTTAAAGAAGAGAATATTTTCAATATCTGTGTGTGACTTTTTTCTAAAAATTTTTATGCATAAATGGTACAGCTTTTTAAAAAAAAAAAAAAACTAACTTAACTGCAACTTTGTTTTTAAAACTAAAACTACGTACAGCTCTCCAAAAGATTCTCCTCTTTAAAATTTGTTATACGCGTTTAACCTCTTTTTCAAATTTCAACCTAAACGGGATTGAGGGTACAAAACTACTGCGAAACGGCCGGTGAATCGTCTGGTCGTCTACGACCGAACCGGTTCGACTAGCTGGTCATAACCACGAGAAGCCTCACGTGTTTTGCCCTTCGGCGGCGTAATATCTCTGCACACGAAGCGCTTTTTATTCTTGTGCGTCCGCGATGGTAACGACCATCGTCGTGTTCTGCATTGTGTTTTGGAATGTTATTTATAAATATCGAACCGATAATACGATACGATAATAATTTATAATTATAATATTGTATTATTACGATACGATGATCTATACCGAGCCAATAATAGCCGGACAACCGTTATTATTATAATGCGACGGTCCGCCGGAACACACAACCCCATAAATAATAACATTATCGGTTTTTCGTTTTTCTTCGGCTCGTCTAAAACTCGAAACGCTCCACGGAAATCGGGTAGATCACCGAACGTTCTACAATACCTATCCACACGATAATATTATAACTGGTAACCTGCTGAATTACATCGTTATAAGTATCTCGCTAAATGTATAGAAAATATCCGGGACCTCTGATCTATACATCATAAATTATGTACCTATATATTTTACCGTACGTCATGCGTCGTATTACTTATAATAATATTTATGGTTTATCTTGTATACTAAATATATTACATGAAATAACTCAACTTTTGATTTGAAGTCTCAATAAAAATGAACATAAACGATTTGACGGTTGCAAAGTTGCGTACAGTTAGTGATTTAAACGGTCCGGGACAAGTTCGCGGTTTATACCTTGGCTATACTTGTCGTTTTTTTCCTATGATAAATTTTATTTTACATTCTTCCCATAGAGATAATCAAGAATCTACTAGTTTTACAAAGTGTGTGTGTGTGTGTTTGTTTTTCTCGGTAAACGTTCTTTCGGTTAGTATACAAATGCTCCGATTTCTCACGTCATACCGTTAAAGATGCGAATTCTTCGATTGATTTAATTAAACTTAAATGTAAAAAAATGTTTTCGAAATTCCTAATAATTATTTGAAAAATTACTTTTGTGTTTTATCTTCGAAAACACGTTTTTGGTTCGGCAATTAACCAAAATGTAAATCGAACCAAAAAGACCCAATATATAGCGGCTACTTATTAGGTCTATAGTAGGTGGATCCGACGAAAATAACGCGGTAACTTTTACTCCGAGGATTTTCTTTTCTTTCAGTGCGCGCGTCTCGTACCTAATATCGTTACATAATATTATTATAATATTATTGTGGCGGTAAATACCTATATGAAATATTATTACAGTGGATTCCGCCTAATGTGGGCACCGGTTAATATGGGCATTCGCGTAATATGAGCGAAATGGTCTGGTCCCAATGCAAATATATATTAACAAGGTCAAAAAGAAAAACGCATAATATGGGCACTCGATTCGGTTTATGTGGGCAATTTTTATTTTATCATAGCGCTAGAACATACACATATGTATTTAAAAACGACTAATATAGTCGGGTTTCGTCGTATGTCTATGAGATTGTGTTTATCGAAAATCGTTAAAATAAAAAGCATTGCCATTTAAACCTTGATGGAATTTTGTTGACTAAATATGTAAACTTGCAATGTAAAACGTTGCTATAAAATGTGACTTCACGCAAGTGGGTAACGAAAATAGTCCGTCTGATAAGCCTGAAGCGTGTGCCCATTTTGTTAACCAGATCCACACTAGACAGAAATTACAAAGTTTTGTACACTTTCTACATTCAAATAGTAATTGTATTTAGTACGTTATATTTAGTTTTATTTACGCAGCAATTTAACATTTTCTTTCAATTGTATGGTTCACGTGTGCAAAATGAAAACTTTTTTAGTAATAAAAATTGTTGTGTTTTTTAGTTAATTTCGGTTTTTATGGGCAGCCGTTTAACGTGGGAAAACAGGGCCGGTCTCAACGTGCCCACATTAAGCGGAATCCACTGTGTACCGTTTGTAAAATAAAACGTTTAGACGAGGGAGGGACCGGTCAGCGGCGGTTTAAATGGGAGGCCCTCCACTTTTGAGCCGTATATGTTTACGATTTTTTTTTCGTATACGTATTATACACACCCCTAATCGTCTTTCGATAAGTTTTAACGATGGGAAAAACGTTAATTACTGCGACACGAATTTTCTGTACAATACATTATAAAAATATATACTTAAACTACTTAAAATGTATAGTTACAAGTGGCATCGGCGCAAAATTTAAATAACATAATATTGATTTCAGACAATATAGACATTTTATACCACGTATAAAATATATTTAATTTGCCATAAACGCGATAAACATAACCGACAACAAAGGCCTATAGATTCGAATATGCAATAATTCGACGTTTAAAAGGAATATACTTAAAAATTATAGTTTTAAGTGGCATCAGTGCGACATTTAAATAACTTGATAGAACAACAGTCTATCGCCAACGACCATACCACGTTGAATACACCAGTTCTCGTCCGATCACTGAAGTTAAGCAACGTCGGGCGTAGTTAGTACTTGGATGGGTGACCGCTTGGGAACACTACGTGCCGTTGGCAATTTTTTTTTTTCGCTTTTTTTAATATTTCTAATATTTATTAATTGTTAGATTCAATGTTTTCGTTTTTTATTAAGTTTTTTTTTCTCTCGCAAAATATTGAATAAAATCTTACTAAATATATTTCATTATAACAAAAGTGACCGATACTGCGACGGGTGTGTCATTGTTTTAGGAGTAAAGTTCCAAGGAACGATATTATACGTATAATAATTCAATTTTCATCTGCGTACAACGATAAACCATTGATAACGAAAATCTATTCTGAGCAGAGTATTATTCATATTTTATCCTTTGTAATCCTTTGGTAATCTGTCGATTAAAATAAATTGATATTGCAAGTTGCAACAATCGCTGATGATAAACATATAGATGTCCATAATACGAGTATTATAAGGAACGGAATTTCTCCTCAGTTTTATGTCCAATGTGCTAATATAATA